ATGCTGCCTTTGAGGGCAGCTGTGGGCCGAATGTGTGGCTGACTAATCAAGGCAAACCTGCCTGCTGACAAACAACACCGCCCCTCAGGCTCACAATGAGGCCATCAAGACCTCCAAAAACAGTGCTCACAAACAAATCCATGGTGTTTTTTCTTTCGTAATTCATGCGTTCGTGATCATTACTACGTGCGTTCATTCATTCATTAGTCATACCGAGCAGTCGGCAGAAGTTCGCGTGATTCGTGCGAAGGAGAGGTTTAGTAAGGCCATCGGCAGCCATATTAGCTATGCCGACCTGGTTAATCGTGAAAGTGCCCTTCTAAGTCATGGCGATAATCCATTTGAACCTAATGTCAATATGCCTCGTGCGTGCCGCTTGTGAAAGATTAAGAACGGCATGTTTGGCGTTCTGGCTGTCAGTGTGCAGGAGCATTGGGGTCACCTGTTGAGCCGCGCCGAGATCGTGAAGCACATCTCGAACCCAGATAGCAGCCTGGCCGGCTGGGGTTAGGTTGATGAACTCTGCCTTAGTCGATGATAATGTCACCAGACTCTGCTTCTTTGATTTCCACATAACAAGACTATTTACAAGGTATACCACAAATCCTGCCGTGGAAATGCGGTCATAGGGATCATCTGCGAAGGATACATCCGCGAACACACGAAGCTTTAAGTCGCGGGGATCATACTTACCTCCGAGCGTAATACCTATGTTCTTTATGCCGTTGAGATACCGCGATAGATACTTAAAGATCGTACCGTGAACTTCCTTTAGGCCATTGTTAGCCTCGCATAGCTTATTGACCGTGTATACGATGTTAGGGCGGGTACTAATAGATAACTAATTCAGGCTACCGGTGCGCTTAAGCCACTGTTTCGGCTGTATGATGTTAGGAAGTGACTTCTAGTTAGATGGAAGGGTGGTCTTCGGGGGCCAGGGAGTCTGTGCTAAGTATATTCCAGGATCAGCGAACTTCGCTATCAATCCCTCGGTGTAGGTGGTCTAGTGGATAAAGATAGTGCGGTTGTTCCTGTTGCGGGTGAATTAAAGGCCGAGGAACTACTTGACCTCTCTAATACGCTTTATATTAAAGATACCTTCCAGGGCGACGAGGACTTCCTCGATAAGTGACTTATAAGGGGCTGCGATAATTATATCATCTACATAAATAAGGAGCTTCACTCTATCATCGCGGATAAAGATATATAACTCTATATCAAGGGGCTTGAACCCTAACTTCTTGAGTTCTTTGGTGAGGTATTCGAACCACCACAATGGAGCCTCACGTAGGCTATAGATAGCCTGGTTGACCCGAAGGACCCGGTCTGTGCCGTCTGAGTGTCCCTAAGGTTATTTAATAAATATAGGCCGCTTGGCCCCGGCGTGCAAGAAAGCTATGACGAAGTCGACTTGGAACTATTCGTCGTTAATGATCGCGACATAGGTGTAGAAGATCCTGACTGATATTATATGTGTAACTGCCGCGTAAACCGTGATTAGAGCATAATACTCTCCGCGTTCTATGTCCCCACGAGCGATAAGGCGTGCCTTGATAAAAGGTTCGGCGTCGACGGGTGTTTTCTTCGTATAAACCTATCGTGTTGGAATTACTGGCGATTTAGGGCGATTCACCATAGTAAACACGCCTCGTAGTGCCATTACATCAAGCTCCCGCTGTTCGGCCGGTCGAATAACCTTATCGTAGTCGGAACGCTTGATAGCCTGGTGCCAATTCTTAGGCATATTTGTTGATACTAGTAGGGATATCTAGCCAGCCTTAATAGCTGATAAGCAGAACATACGCAACCCTGGAACCTCGATATCTCGGTCTCGATAAAGGTCTATAGCTATGAAACCTCTGCGCTTGCCTGTGGTATATAATTGCTTATAATCAACGCGCTCGGTCCTTCTGCCTGAGCGACATAGAGGTGCCTTTTCTTCGTCAAAGGCTCCAGGCATTCTTGGTCCATTATTATGATCATCCTACTGGTCGGGTGGGTTGGCAAGCAATTGATCCTCTAGCATACGGGCAATCTCATCCTTATCTAGATCGCTGTCGGCAGCAGGCGTTGGCTCTGGGGTCATAGGAGCATAAGGCTCTCTGTCCTTAGGTGAAGTTTTTGTTGACAGCCGAGGCGTGATATCGTTAGTCTGGCTGTCTGCTTGGGGAGTGTGGTCCTCGCTTTATAGTAATTCCTCGGGGACTGGGTAAGTCGTAGGTTCAGACGTGTAGATATCCTCGTTCGTGAAGACCATACGGCCTTCTTCCACTATTTCTAGGTCAACAAGGGTAGCTTCGAATTCGAAGTCTTCGATATCCCTTATCGACGGCGTGAACTCGATAAATCGTGTATCGCGGGCCCGAACAATACGCTTAAGGCTAGGTATCCAGATCTTAAAGATACGGGTATGTACGCCTTTAATGCCCACGAGGCGTCCTTTCCAGGCGCGCGGAGCTAGCTTTTCTGACGCCTTGCGCTATTCCTTTAGAATACGCACGTAGGCTATGTATCCCCAGGTGCGGATAGCTCGTAGGTCGTATTGGTAGTTAAGACCTATAATATCGAACATCTTCTTGATCGGCGGCTCCGAATCATCGTTAGCCGCTGTCGGCATATAGTTCGTGATATAGGCCGCATGTTTAATTACCAAGGGCCACAAGTGTTGAGGAATGTTAGCGTTAATACAATCAGCCCGTGCCGAGTCTATCAGAGTACGGCCGGCACGCTCAACCTTGCCCTAGTAGGCAGATACGTAAGGGGCGCCTGTCTTAACGATAATACCCTTTGCCTTAGCCTAGTTAACCAGGCTATCAATAAGGAATTCGGGTGCGTTGTCGTAATGAAAGACCTGAACTTTAAAGCCTCCAGAGGTATTCTCGACAGCGGCTATCTAATCCTTGATTTTCGTAGCAGCCTCAGACTTCGCCGCCACCGACTTCACCTAGTGGTAGTTAGTATGATAGTTAATTGAATGCAGTAGGAACTTGGCGCTGTTGTAGCCCACTGGCGTGATCGTGATGATATCCCAATAGATGTGAGATAGGAAGGATGACTGTTGAACAGACGGCGATCGGTTGACCATTTGATCTGCCTTCGCCAACTGACACGCTTCACAGTGGAAGTTGGCGATGCTGTCAGGTTTGATCCGAATTCCAGCCAAACGGCAGGCCTTGAGGATGCGATCCTTGGATGCGTGACCTAGGCGGCGATATATTAATACGTATTCGACATCCTGGGTTGTGGTATTGTAGGGCAATGCCGCGAAGTTGTATTACGGCTGTCGTTTATCTACGTGCAAGACGGCGATGTGTTGCTTCTATTCGTATTCGCCGAGGACTATGCCGTTATTCTTATAAACCAGGGTATCACGGATGCTATCTATAATAATGCCGTTCTTGCGCAAAACGCCTGGACTAAGCATGTTTGCGGCAGCTTCGGCTGCGAAGTTAACCTCACGAAGATATAAGGTGCCTCCCCCGGTTATATAGACTTCGGCCGTGCCGATCGCAGTTACCTGCAAGCCTTGGCCGTTGCAAGCCGTCATACTGTCTGGTCGCGATAGTTCCTTAAGGTATGTGAAGTAGGAACGGTCATTGAGCACGTGTGTGCTATATCCTGAGTCGACGATAAAGTCTTCCTTGGTGATGCCTCTATTGGCAAAAGGTTGGCTGTTGAACGATATAAATGCGAAGCTTGTGCTATCTCTATTTTCAGAATTACTATTCGAATCAGAGGCTAATGCACTAAAAGCGTTGGTGATTCCAGCGTTAGCCTTGGACTTATTTTTATTGTTCTGACTATTCTGGTTGGATGACTTTCCACGTCTATTGCCGCCGCCGTTGTTGTCATTGTTATCATTATTGTTATTGTTATTCCTTGAACGGTTGTTATTTAGCCAGCCTTTGGGAGCCTTCTCGGGGTGAAGTTTCTAGCATTTTTCGCGAGTGTGTCGACGAGCACGAGGGCGCACCACACAACCGCAGGACAGGATCTCGTCCTTATCCGTGGTATTACTGCCAGGGTCAGCAGCGGTATTACCGCTGCTATTGTTCTAGTTATTATTAGAATGACCTTATCGACCTGGTTACTTGACGGTGGTTATATTCATAGACAATAGACGCTCCTTATTAGCTTCCTACAGAAGGTACTTTAGTAGCTTAACCTTCGTGACATTACCCTCCTTAGTCTGATCGTGTTTCCAGTTAGAATACCAGTCAGGGTTACTGTTCTTGAGAGCGTTAAGCGTCCGGTTGACCTATATCGTGTCGTCAAGCTGGATTTATTTAGAGATTGTACTCTAGAGGTATTGGAACCTGTCGAGGAAGCTTCGTAGAGAGTCGAATTTCTCCCGCTTCATGTCGAAGAGTTCGGACATCAGATCGTCGATAGTGTCAGCAGGGTTCTGGTCTAGAACGGTACGAACCTTCGTCCACATATCGTGTGCTGAGTCGACCTCGACGTCCTATCCTCCCATCTTCAGTTGACGCTGCACGATCGTGGTTATGTTGGTGTACACAAGGGTCTGAGCGCGGTTGTTGATTCTCTCATCGCGTGATGCCGCAGGGATGGCCTCGACAAGGTAACGCTTGAGGGCCATACCTCCAGCGACCATCAGAATGGCATTCTTCCATTCATCATAGTTCTCCGCCCCTGTAAGTTTAGGCACCGTAAATGGGAAGGCGCCAAGGGACTGGTCTGGTGTTGCGGCCGATCCGGCCGTGCCGGCTGTTTCTGCCATTGTGAAAAGGTCGTGAGGGACCGTTGATCGTGAGGAAAGAAGGGGAAGAAGAAAGCCTTATATCACAGGATTGCAGAACAATCAGTAACTCGAAATCTGATGGCAGGGTGATGCCGCTTGGGGCAGGGTGATGCCACTTGGGGCAGGGTGATGCCGCTTGGGGCAGGGTGATGCCGCTTGGGGCAGGGTGATGCCACTTGGGGCAGGGTGATGCCACTTGGGGCAGGGTGATGCCGCTTGGGGCAGGGTGATGCCACTTGGGGCAGGGTGATGCCGCTTGGGGCAGGGTGATGCCGCT